TTCTACTGATGCAGGTAGGTAATGTGATAATGATAAATGGCAGATAGTATGTCAGTAGTATGTCCGAATTTCATTAATACTATTAACTATATATTGGTTGATTTTCCTATAGTTGTGAAGTAAATTTAAATTCAATGCAATGTTGGACACAGCTTATGTGTGTTCACACTATGGTAATTCACATAACACTAATGCAAAGCTAGAGTACTTTTACCCCAAAGGAAATCCAGCCGATTCGAATGTTATCACTCGATTGAATGGGTTTTAACAGTGGTTATCAGCTGATAGATATGGGCTAGTAGGGGCCTTCTACTAGTGGGCTCTTAAGACTGTTATCGTCCATTTACATGGTTAATCAACTATAGCTCACATACAGCTGCGGCCGGAAGTTAACAAGAATTATTTACTAAATTCCCCATTAGTTGTATTTTATTAACATCACTACCCCAACCTTAAACCCAACCGTAATGTAAAAACAGATCTGGATAAGGAGTATTCTTTATTAGTATAGCTGATTAATCATGTAAATGGATGATAACAGCCTTCTGAGCCTACTAGTAGGCGCAGAAGGCCCCTACTGGTCCATATCTATCCATAATCACTGATTAGGGCCATTTAATTGAGTGATAACATTCGAAATGCGTGAGGAATTCATACTTGTTTTGGTTTCACACCAAAAATGGAGCACCAAGCCTTCAGATACTAGTAAGCATTTGATTGGTCAGAAGATCAGAAGACGGCCTAAAGATATGTTGATCTTATTGTTGATCTTCTGAATGCAAAATTTTGCACACCATAGCTTATAAATAACCTTAAGACTAGCACATTAATACTGATGTCCAAAAAAACGGAAACATTTTGATTTCAGGGGGACTTTAACATTACAGTGTTTTACAGCGTGCCAGGCGGTGTCATGGCTCTGTAGAAGTGCAGTGAAAAGGTTACGGCTTGAACCTTGGCTCATTTTACACTCTATAAACTCAGCAACCGCTTCGTGTGTGTGCTGCATGTATTGTGTCATGCATAATGCCTCACATCCTACTTCAAAAGACAGCCATAAGGGATTTTTCTGACTTTTACAGGTGCCCTGTACTTACGTGCACCCACAACGAACTGCTTTAGGTATAAATCTTTTTCAGTGTCGTTAGATTTAGACTTAACGCTCAATAAAATGTGGTCATATTTACTGATATCTTGCAGTAATTTACCTCCCGAGCAAATGATCTTTCTTAAGATGTTAAAATGGAAATATATTTAAAAATGTAACTCTCTCTTATTGTTCCACATAACACTTTTGTTCATAAATCACAAAGGATATTGAAAGATATTAATGAAATCTTTTGTTTTAAAGTTGAACAAAAGTCAGCCAGTTTATATTATTAATTTGAGCCTAATTCGATGACAAAACAACAGATGAATCCCTCCATATGCACTAGACACTTTTACTACAAACACTTTATTACAAAGTCTCAATAATAATAATTGAAGAAAACTTGCTAAGCTGACATGTCAAATCATCTATATATTGTTGCTCTGTGGGGTTTTGAAGTGCTTTTTTATCATAATTTGTCATTTGCTTTAGATAAAAGCATCCGCTAGATGAATAAAAGTACAACAACTAGCTGATCATACTAAACTTCCATCATAAGCATGACTTGAGCAGGACTACAGATTGGATTTAGAATATAACCAGTAGGGTTGGGCGATGTTGACCAATTTGGCATCGTTTAATGTCTAATGTGAAACATTGCGATGGACTATGCCATCTTCGTTGTAGGCTGGGGGTGGTGGTGGTTGTTACCCATAACCAAACCATAAATAAATAGAGTAACAAACAAATGACCACCTATCAATCACTTTTTTCCACGGGACTTTGGCATGAATAGGCACCGCGATCTGTGTCGTTACAATGGCTTTTCCCACAGCTGGTAGAGGAGACGAGAGTTCAGTTGGAGTTCACTGTAGTGCATACATTTTCATTGTTTTCACTGCAAAATCCTCACCACGTGCGCAGATTTAGGAGACATTAATGCAGAATACATCTTTGCACCAAAAAATGCAAAAACGCAGCACTCATGAACCTATAAACAGTTGTTATGTGAACTTGCTGAAGTAAAAAGGCCGCAATGCTTGCCCCGCCTTTGTGCTCTTCTTATTGGCTCATTGCTCTTACTGAACGTGAATAATTGGTTATTATCAGCTGTGCCTTTAGATGACAGGAGCTACAACCGCGAAAATGTGAAGCGCTGAAGATGAGAGAATGAAAATAACACTGACAGATTTAACCACAGTTACAAATAATGGCACATCTTATTATTGATCATGTGCTGAATGTTAATCCACCATTTACACTTTTCCAAGAGTGGATAATAGACTTTCAGTGGCTTTAAGTCCGCTATGAAAATGACTAAAGCCATTTACTGTAAAGTTTATGGGAATGGGGTTTGCAGGTAACAGTGTTTGCCACTAAATCTACACATTTTAAGCGCAAGAGGAAGTGTATAATCCTTCATTTAATCCTCACGATTTTTGTTGGCCATCGGCAATGGATGATGGCATCGTCTATTGGAACAACCCTAATAACCAGTTGCAGATTCTGCACGCAACAAAGTTCAGATACGATGTAAGAAGTTATTTTTGCAGCTTCAGTGATTATTACATGAATTTTTGGGAGGGACATTTGTCATGCTACAATAATGGTTGTCTCAGTGGTTCTTCTGCTTAACATGATGTATGACAACTAAAGTGTTTATGGATCAAAATAAGTGTTGCCATAAAAACATAAACTGGTTATGGTATAATGGATTCTTTTTTTTTTTTTTTTTTTATCATGCTCACAACTTTGCAGAACTTGTACATTTACACAAAACCACATTGCACATAGCAAGCAATGTAATATTAAAAAAAAACATAACATGGGTAGAAAAACAGATGATGTTTGATCCACGGTTCACTCCTGTCTCTGTCGGTCTAAATTGGAAAGCGGCATTTAACAAATAAGCTGGTGACAGAAGATAACACTTGCTCACGGTTTGTGTTTGTCCTGCAGATTGAAGGTGGCCATTCAACAGTGATAGCTGACAAGAGCGGTTACTGAGTTAGAGGAATTAACACTGTGAAAACATTGCCCCCATAGCACTCATTACACACTGATGAGCCATAATTTGTTTACTGGAATAACATGAATAAGCATAATTGGCCAATCAAATCTATGAATGAGAGCCATGTCATAATCAGGCGACCACATTGGAGATGCGAGGCTGGCTTTTTATAATTTGGGATATATTTTTATTGGAAAACACTCAAACAACAAAATTAACCTAATTTGTTTCCTAAGAATATATCATGCCAATTCTGTTGTACTCTTTTATTTAGCATAACTTTATAAAAAAAGTGTAGCTTAAAGAAATCTAGATGTACACTATGGTTGAAAAATTCATCTGTACTTTTATTCAATAGAGGTAAGTTAAACGGACTGTAAAATGTTTATGATAATAATACGTTACTGTCACTGTAAGAGTCTGGCAACAGAGTTGAAGATCCACATGCTTATTAAACAGAGAATGGTTAGGCAAGCAACGGTCAACAGGCAGGGGCGGGCTGGCCATAGGAAACACCGGGACATTTCCTGGAGGCCTGGCGGTCTATCTGGCTTGCAACCATGATTCTGGCCTGTTTTGTTCTTTTTATTGGTTTATAAGTCTACCCTGTCCTTCAAGTGGGGAGCGGGATTATAATAATTTCCTATATTTGAAAGGTGTCTGCTGGTGGTTGAAAGACAACAAGAGGGTCAACACTAGGGTTGTCATTCTCATCTGTGGAGGATGCCTCATAATCAGGGTCCTCCTCAAGATTATCTCGTTTCAGACACATTCTCCTCTGACACTTTCAATGTCAAAAACCTGTGACAAAATCGCTGACAGAGAACCATTGCTTAGAGGCAATTGTCAATCGAGAGTGCTTAAAGAGAGAGCACACAGAGCGCAATGAGAAATAGTTTAGAAAGCTTCATGCGCAAGGTTTTATAGCTTTGCACCTACCCAGTAAACCACGTGAATTATGTTTTCTCCTCCTTTAAAAATAATTTTGCAAGAATTTGCCCCCCCACCCCCCAATCCCCTAATACAATTTTTTTTTTTTTACTATTTCTTGTGTTTTATACAGCTAAAAGTCCCTGGGGCCAAATTGACCCCAAGGAACACCAATGTTACAAAATGGGTACAGGGCATTGAAAAAAATATATCATATTAATTTTATGTTTGCCAAGTTTTTCCTTTTAAATTAGGAAAAGTCTTTCAATATGAAGCAAAAAAAAAAAAACTATGTAAACTATATATGCACATACGATTAAGATTAAATGGGGTCAAATTGACCCCAAGGATAATAGGTGGGTTAAGAATCAGCTGTTGTATATTTAAAAACAATACCACAGCAATTAAGAAAAATGTCTTTCGCTGTGCTATCGTTAAACAAAAGCTGCGGAATGCTCTTTACAAGACTATATGGTTACTGCTGACCTCATTGTGCATAACATCCTCACTGTGTGGTACCTGTGTATGTGTTTGCTGTGTATTATGTGTGTCATCTTGTCCACCTCTCCTTCCCCCAGATGTCCGGATGGATACTTCGGCCCGCGGTGCTTGCAGACAGAGCCCCTGCGGTTATACATGCCCAAACCTAATAAAAGTATGTTGACTTGAGATGCACAGCCGCAAACAGAGGACCGACTGTCACTGGGTTACCACTGCTGTCTCTCCTTTACCTTCTTCCGCCTCCCAAGGCTTGCTGGCTTAAGTCTGTCCTGAAATAGACACTGTGGTGCCTCCAGTGGGATCCTCTGTTTCTGCTGTACATAATTGTGCTGTTGTCCTAATGTTCTCTTTGCTTTCTTTTTCTCCCCCCTCTCTCCCTCTCTCTTGCTATTACCCTCTTCTCCTTCTGCATCTTTTTCTCTCTGCTCGACCTCTCTATCTTTCTATGGTTTTGTCTCTTTCCATCAGGTGTCCAAATGACTATACTGGTGATCGGTGTCAAACCTCCGTTATGGCCAGTTTCTACCGTATGTCCATTTCTTCTTCCGTCCATCTGTCAGTCTGTCTGTCTGTCTGTCTGGATTGCATGCTAAACTAGGATATGTGTGAATGATGTTTTGCTATGGTTAATAAAATACATAATGTTCTAACAAATTAATGTTATTTTTATGTTGTTTTATTTATTTGTTTATTTATTTATTTTACAATGAATGAGTTTTATTTAGTGCAGCATTTCATCACATTGATCAACTCTACGTAACATTTTCAATGCAATCAATAATGCATGTTTTCTTTAAGTATGATTGCATGCTGTTCATTAAGTTAATCCGTAACTTGGCCATAATCATAATGGCAATAAAACACCCCTAATTAGGATGCTGCATCCTGGTTTAACAAATTAAAGCAACAAAGTACAGTTGCTGTCAGTGTACTAACCATAAACACATGCTATAAAATGTCCAAATGGAATATAATATGTCACAAACAAGTCAATTGTTAGCTAATAATAATGTAGATATAAAAACAAGGGATGCACCAATACCACTTTTTTCCCAGAATTATTTAGATACTAATTACCAATATTTACCAAACATTTTTACTGGGTGATACAGTACTTACCAGTACCTACCAATATTTTGTTCTTGTCATTACAATACTTACCAGTACCTGCCGATACTTTGTACTTGTCGATACAATACTTAACCATACCTACAAATACTCTGCACTTTTCAGTACTGATTAATAATATTTACCACCATACATACAGATACTCTGCACTTTCAGTACCGATTACCAAATATTTACAGATATAATACTTCCAGATACTTTGTAGTTGTCAATACAATATTTACCAATACTTAGAGATACTCTACACTTTACAGTACTCATTACCAAATATTTGCAGATTTAATACTTAACAATACTTTGTAGTTGACGATACAATATTTACCAAGACTTAGAGATACTCTGCACTTTACAGTACTGATTACCAAATATTTGCAGATATAATACTTACCGATACGTTGTACTTGTCAACACAATATTTACCAATACCTACAGATGCTCTGCACTTTGCAGTACTGATTACCAATCTTTACCAACATACCTACAGATACTCTGCACTTTTCAATACCGATTACTAAATAATTGCCGATACTTATAAATAATTGCTGAATACTTACCGATACTTTGTACTTGTCGATACAATATTTACTAATACATACAGAAACTCTGCACTTTTCAGAACTGATTACCAATATTTACAGGGATACCTGCAGATACTTTGCATTTATCAGTATTGATTACCATTATTTACTGACATATGCACAAATATGCTGCACTTTTCACTGCAGAGTACCAAATATTTACCGACATAATATTTACCGATACTTTGTACTTGTTGATACAATATTTACCAATACCTACAGACACTTTGCACCTTTCACTACTGATTACCAGTATTTACAGACATACCTACACATGCTCTGCACTTTTCAGTACCACTTACCAAATATTTGCCGATATAATACTTACCGATACTTTGTAATTGTCGATACAATATTTACCAATATCTACAGAAACTCTGCACTTTTCAGTATTGATTGCCAATATTTACTAACATACCTACAGATACTCTGCACTTTTCAATACTGATTAGCAAATATTTGCAGATATAGTACTTACCGATACTTTGCATGTGTCGATACAGTATTTACAAAACCTAAAGATACTCTGCACTTTTCAGTATCGATTACCAATAATTATCAATATAATACTTACCAATTCTTTGTACATGTTGATACAAAACTTACCAAAACCTACTGATTATTTGCTCTTTTTAGAACTGATTACCAATATTTACTGATATAATATTCACCGATACGTTGTACTTGTCGATACAACAGTTATCCATACCTACAGATTCTTTGTACTTTTCAGTACAATACTTGCCAATATGACACTTAGCAATATTTTGTACTTGTTGATGCTGATTACCAATACTTTCAGATAATTTATACTTGCTGATAAAATTCCTACTGATAGCTACAGATACGTTTGTTCTTTCTAATATTGATTACCAATACTTTACAATACAAAACCTACTGATATTTGTACTTGCTGATTCAACACATCCCAATACTCACCAATAATTTGCTAGTAATATTTATCAATATTTGGTACTTGACAGTCAGGATTAGCTTTAACTGATTTTATAATTTTTGCATATTTTATTAATCATGTAATAACACTGCAAACATGTAGGTCCTGTAGGAGACATTTCTATTTTGTTGCTGTTTAAACCACGTAACACTTTACGCTTCCTTAGTAATATTTTGAATAGATGTTTACAAAAGAATAACTTCAAAAAGTAGTATTTGCTTTTTTGTGTTTTGTTTATATTACTGCCCAAGCCAATTTGCACACAATACACCATGCTATAGTTTCACAAGTGAGTACAGTGTAAAGCAAGAACACTGTGTATTGTTTCCCTCGCATAATCCTGTCACAAATCCCTCACTTTAAAGAACACCCCTTAATTATGCTGTGAAATTAAACAACTCCACTTCCCCGAGGTGACACATTTTAACCGTATAAGGCTGCACATTTGTGTCTCCAGTGCACATGTCCATCAACTGCAGAATAACACTAGATTAGAGGGATCACTACAACTGACAGCTCATGCCTGTGAGCTATTGGCGTCTGCTTATGTCCGCATAGTCTGTATAATCAAGCCTTTGTGATCTCAAGAGCGTTGCTACGCTGCTGCTGTTTACATTTTAACACTGTGACCTTAATCTTAAGATATGTTTATTAGTTAATAAAAAGACAGGAGGTAGAATATAAAAGATTGACGCATGCAGCTAGATGTAGAACAGAATAGACATTCCTCACTATTAACAAATGTGTAATTTATATTTAATATATGGAGTGTTTTCAGATGTTACTAAAGTATTTATTATATTCATTTTAGAGATAAATTCCACTTGATGTTTACAGTTGGTTGAAATTATTTCTAAAAGTAAGTTCATGACAACTTAATGTAAGTTAATTTAAGGCAGCAACTTTTTTTCTTTACTGTGCAGTGCTCTGTATAAAAAAATAAATAATTTATGATGTGATACATAAAACACTCAAAGAGTTGCATACAGTAACATGAAAAATTATAATCTGACGTGTGTTATAACCAGTGTCATGTCATAATTTATCAATATATTTACTGTATCGGAAGAGCGGATCAAGTCTTTGCATGTGTGGATTGTTAGCTTTTTTCACTGGCTTCCTTTCTGTACTTCAGGTTGGGAGGTCTGGAAATGAGTGTCTGTCAACATTAGATGTTAAAACAGTGCAGGTACCTTGGCTTTTAGACCTGAGGAAATGTAAATAGCATAAATGTAGCACAATAGGTGCGTGTATGCACAAGCAGTGTGAGGGAAAAAAATGACTTTGGCGCCAGGAAGAAATGAAGGGATATTACAACACAGTTAACAGCTGACAAAATGTCTTCGCTACATGCAAAGGTCGCCTGTGATTCTCAGCTTGCTGGTAGAGCGTGAGGGCAGACATGTGCTCAGAGCTGTCATCTCTGAGAGAAAGTGATTTTCTGTCACTTTCTGTTCAGCTCTCGGGTGAGAGGATTGTAATTGCGCTACCAATTAGAATCGTAGGAGAGAGCTTCTATGCAAGGGCGTCTCTGGTAGAAGCCGAGCATCAGAAATAACCAGAAAAAAATCATAGTAATAAATTAATTAAAACATCTGTTTATAAATGACAAAAAAGGGTGTAGGGTTGGTGTAAAATGTCGTTTTTAAGAAATAAAACTCTTTAATTTCATTTCATTGCAAAAACCTTCATAAATAATGCACCGCCTAAATCCATACAGGAAAGAGATGGGTCATATATAAAAGTTCTCTTGGAATTACTTCTTCACAGGGAATTTAGCTTACTATAACACAGAACTCAAAACCCTATCTCCCACCCCACCCATCTAACATTGATTTTCATTATTTACTGACATATGCACAAATATGCTGCACTTTTCACTGCCGAGTACCAAATATTTACAGACATAATACTTACCGATACTTTGTACTTGTCGATACAATACTTACCAATACCTACAGACACTTTGCACCTTTCACTACTGATTACCAGTATTTACAGACATACCTACACATGCTCTGCACTTTTTAGTACCACTTACCAAATATTTGCCGATATAATACTCACCGATACTTTGTAATTGTCGATACAATATTTACCAATACCTACAGAAACTCTGCACTTTTCAGTATTGATTACCAATATTTGCTAACATACCTACAGATACTCTGCACTTTTCAATGCTGATTAGCAAATATTTGCCGATATAATACCTACCGATACTTTGCACGTGTCGATACAGTATTTACAAAACCAAAAGAAAATGATTTTCTGTCACTTTCTGTTCAGCTCTCGGGTGAAAGAATTGTAATTGCGCTACCAATTAGAATCGTAGGAGAGAGCTTCAATGCAAGGGGGTCTCTGGTAGAAGCCGAGCATCAGAAATAATATTCATTAATCAATAACATTGATCAAAATATTTGTGGAAAGTTCATTAAAAAAAGCATACATAAAAAACATAACATTTATAACATCTACAATCATTAAAAGCCATTTTTTAAATTCTGTAAACTATTGATGACATTGCTTCCTAATTTAAAACAAAAACAATTAATTTGCCTAAATTAACAACTAAGGTGTTGTTTTTAAACTTATTACTTAAACTATATTAATTTTAAGACAACAGGAAGCCAAAAAGCTTTTCTTCCAAAAAGTTTTTAAATCATTACCAATGAAAGCATTTTATATTCTGACATAATATACATAACACAAATATCAAAGTTAAAAGCTCTAAGTTAAAAAAGAAAGAAATATTACTAAACATTTATCAGAATAAATAAAATAATATTATCAGAATAAATTAAATATAGATTTTTCCCATACATTTTAGTAAAATGTTCAGTATTGATTTCTAAATCTTTTAAATTAATAGTAATTCAATGTAATATGTCTGCTTTGTCTGTAACTGTAGACTGTATTTTTAAAATGAATATTACTAAACATTTATTAGAATAAATAAAATAATCATTCATATTCTTTTTGGCTTAGTCTCTTTATTAATCTGGGGTCGTCACAACAGAATGAATCGCCGATTTATACAGCATAAGTTTTACAAAGCAGATGCCCTTCCAGCTGCAACCCATCACTGGGAAACTAAATAAAATAATATCAGGATAAAATAAATATTGATATTTTTCTTACGTTTTAGTGAAATGTTCAGTAATTATAGCTAAATCTTTAAATTAATAGTAATTAAATGTAATATATGGGCTTCAGCTGTAACTGACTCCAGTGTTGAAGTCATTTTCGACACTAACATAATATATATATATATTTATCTTAAGAAAATTAATTTTCAAGACATAGTTTGCTAAGAAAACCACTATTTAAATAAAAAATAAACATTTTTGTTTAGTTTTTTCCAATGTGCTATACTGACATTTTAAAACCAAGGTAATGTACCATCATTTTGTGTACCATTACACTTCTAGTCTTTATACTAACAACATATATCTGCCTTTTATTATATGCTTTTTTATAATTAAGTAGCTCATCTGTATCCCACATCTGTTCCTGGTTAAAAAAAAAAAAAAGACAACAGTGGGAATCTCCTACTGCTAATATTAGGCATGTGTGCTGCTCAGTGCTTGTTCATTCACTCAAACAATCATATTATCCTGATCCTTTGACCCTTTGAGTAACAACAAAATTTGTAGCCATTATCAGCAATAACATACAACCTGTTAGGACATGCAGAGCTCTGTCCATCAGTGTACACTCAATCCAGACAAAAGCTACAGGCAAAATTCAGTGTAATAGCTAAATCGCTGTGTCTAGCCGACATCTCTTGTTGCATTCCGCATGTTCTACTAATACTCATTGCAGAGTGCAAATAGCATCTTGTTATTAACAATTAACATAAACCCGATTTATGTTTTATGAATAATATTGACTGTCTGTGAGCCCCACAGGTAAGCCACATCAGAGATATTTTTAATTGTGCACTTCAATGCATATCAATTTACCTGCATTCCTGCATACTTGCTGTTGTGTTTGTAGTATAACAACAATTATATTAATGATAGAGTTGAAACACCCTGCCTAAAATAACAGGAATTAAAGTGTCTAACAATCCGCCCAATATGATGACATTAATTCATACAATAAAATCTACTAACCTAGAGCTCGTTTTTAGAAATGTCAGATCCTAATCCATGCAGTAAATGCCATAATAACCACTAGTTTATTATTTGTTTTATTACTTGCAATTATAACCAGTGCTTCCATATTAATCGTAGAAACCCATATTTTGGATGTGCTCTAACCTGCATGATCTAACCACTTATTCTCTGTTATATATATGACAGTATCTGCATGATGTGTCCACAATGTGACTTTCATAATTTTGTCCATATGTGTTCCTGTGTATGGTGGGATATCTCTCTCTTAAATCTTGTTCTTGTTTTTCCTCTCTCTCTGTTTTTGTTTTTGCTCTTCATTATCAACTCTTTGCACTGGCAGAGTCTCTGGGGATTGAATTTATGGGTATGGACCAGTCCTTCCTTCTTTCCAGATTTCCACTCGACACACCTCCATAGACTCTCTCTGATGGACTCTAAAGCAAATGAACAAATTGATTAACAAATGAATCTGTCAATCTCTATATAGTAGCCCTTCTTTCCAAGAGTCAGCATGGGAATCATTATCTGCAGCCCTCGTCTCGTCACAGCGGGATTCTAAGGTTTTGTTCAGACAGGCAGGAAAAAAAATGGATACGACTCAAATCTGTTTTGGGGAAAAAGGCTAAAACATGAAATATAATGTTGATAAAAATCTATATGTGGTCTGAAGTCTGATTAAAATCTCTCTCTTTTTTTTTTTTTTGGAGCGTGTCTTAGGGTGCGTTTACACAACAGCAACGTACTAAAAATGAAGAAAAGCTTTCAGTTTCTGAAAAGTTTCATATACATGTTGTTAAAACATTGCCCGCTTGCCAGGAATAATAATAGTTAAAAATGAATTAATAGTAAATAATATGTTTTGCTTGACAAAATGTAAATAGAAATACTTCAGTATACAAGATTAGCAGATAAAAATGCTTTATTTAAGCTCGTGCACACTGGAATGGGTTTTGCTCAGCATCGTTTTTCATCATTCCTACTTGAGCGATTTTAACTGGCAATGAAAATCATTCCCTGATGTTAGCTAGTGCTTAATGAAAAAACAGAAATACCAATGCAATCTCACGGCAATTTGTAACTTTTTAATTTAGTATGAATTCGTAGGATCTAATTCATACAGTTTAGTACAATTTGCTCATCACCCAATGACGGTTGGGGTTAGGGGTGCGGTTGGGTGTCACGTCTCCTTTTTAAATCATACATTTTCATACGAAATTCGTATGAATTAGCCACTAAACTGACAAAACGTAAAATATTTCCTCGTGAGATCAGGCTTTAAATACCCCACTTCACAAGGTGGCGCTGGTCAATCCTATGCTTCTGACATTTGCTTGTTGCGCAAAAGAAATCGTGTTAGCTTTTTCACTTTAGTCTATTCTCCACTACAGCGCTAAAATGCCCCTTTAAACGTTTGCGGGAAAAGTTACAAGCCATGAAAAAAATTGAGTGAAATGAAACTAGTCATTGAATCCTGTTTGATTTGAGCTTGGCTAGACTGTGCTTGAGCACCACCAAGCCATGTTTTATTGTAACTTGAACAGCTCGAGGCATACAGTAGGAATAAAAGTGCCAATCTTATTGGTCGAATAGTCTTTTTATTGCAATACATGAAACCGCAAATATTAGCCTGTAATTTTTTGTTTCTTAACAAATTAAACAAATTTACAACAAATTCAACATAAACACACTCACACACACACACACACACACACACACACACATTGCGATTGTTAAACATTGGTGATAAGCTTAAGTGAAAATCACCCGCGTGTGCATGAACCTTTATGAATTCAACAACGTCATTCACAGAGTTATATTCCTGTAGGTTGCTATTGTAGTTTTGCTTCAACATAATTTTTTTGTAGATTACTCAGACAATAATAGTATAATAAAAAAATTAAAAAAAACTTACATTATAAATCCCATTTACAAATGTGTAATGTTAAAATGGCCTAAATTCCTAAATTTAATTGCTGCGTAAATAAACGACCAACATGATCTCACAGCAATTTGCTGGTATTTTCACTTCTGACTAATTTACATGTAAATTTTAATGATCTTAATCAAATGTTTTTATACAACTGACTGTTGTTCTACTGTTGTTTATATTAAGAAGGGGTTTCTAAAAATTTTAGATTAAAACATGAATAAATTGTACAAATTTATGAAAGTTATCCCCATTTGCCTTACTTCCCTAAAAGATTGGGTCGGATCAAACTAAATGGTTTAAGTCTTTAAAGATTTATATTTGAAAACTTAGACCTGCCGATAGATTTGTAGAATCTACACCTTCACATCATGCCACTGTTTTCACAAAATCATGTTTTTGTAGTTTATATAAATAAATAAATAAATAAATAAATAAATAAATAAATAAATAAATAAATAAATAAATAAATAAATAAATAAATAAATAAATAAATAAAAAAACAAAAAAATAAAAAAATAAAATAAAATAAAATAAAATGAAGATAAATAAAATAAAAAAGGTTCATGGATGGCGTTAAAACTGGCCTCTAAATTTTTGTACAATTCATACAAATTAGCCACTAATTTACCAAAATATATTTTAAAAATGATGCGCAAAATGACCTAATTTCTCTGTGAGATTGCAGAGACATGACCATAATAGATAAAACTTTTTCAGTTTACTTGATAATTGAGCCTTTATTAAAGTTATTTTTAATAAAAGTTATAATTATTGTTAATTATACATGGAATAGCTGTTTCCATTAGGATGTCGTAACCAAAAAGCAATTTTTAAAAATACATTTTTAATGTTGTGTAAATGCTCTCTTAGTCCAACTAAACGAATCAGTATTTTGACAAGACCAACATGACACAGCCCATATGTAACATTATACAAAATTCACAATTGACTGGGGCTGTCCAATACACTATTTGTGTCTCTCATTTTCCTCATCTAGTGAATTATGAGATATTCACTATGAATGAGCGAGCCAAAAAAAGAAATTCTCTGGCATCCAATGCGCATACCAGATGCTGAACAATCAGATAAAATATTATTACTTGCAAAATGTCCAAAATATCAGGTTCGAAATCTAAATTGCATATGTGTGCCGTGTGAACCAAGCCTTAGAACTTGTACCTATTTAAAATAAGCCGTAAATTTCCATGCAGCTCATGAAACATTGCCAAAACGGCTTTAATGTGAGCATTTAACCATGTGCGTAGACAGTTCAAGTTTTAGCTAGGACTTTAAGCAACTATATCTTTTGTTGTATCAGTTAGAAAACACAAAAAAGTCAGCAGATGAGTCAGTTTTTTGAAGATGTACACAGATTTGTTAAAGTGCATGCAGCAGGTCTGAAGCTCTAAAGTAGTTAGCATTGCGCGGGGGTGATTTGTGTAAACCTCCGTCAGTTTTACACACAAACCTGGTGTTTACTGAACAGTAAGTGCTTCAAGTGTATTTATGTGCACTGGAGTAGTACTAACATTGAATCTAATTAGCCTGCGTTATACCTGGAAAGTTTTGACTCATGTTGATTCAAGTGCTTTCCCTTACGCACGCACTTTTCAACTCTTTCAGGTGACTATTTGACATTTCAAATAATGTAAGAAAATGATTTAATATCAGCTGTATTATTATTATAATTTTTACTATTATTTTCTAGTCTCTCAGAGAATAGTTTATTAAAAGTTAATTGGTAGTTTTATTCATTTTGAGGGGTTACAGTTTACAATTAAGTTTTATTTTTAAAAAAGGGTAATGTGTGAACATGGAATAACAGTAATCAATGTTTTTACAGTATTTATTATCTTCAAGATTTTGTTAGAAATAAAATGAATAATTAGTTGGTAATAAAAATCTATTATAAACTACACTGTAAGAAAATCCTGGTTGCCTTAAATTTTTAAGCTGAATCAAAATAAGTTTGATACAGTGTAATGTAAACAAAACAACTCTCAAAATCAAGAATGTTTTTTGTCAATGTTGAAACATTGAGTGAAACATTAATACAGTGTTAATGTTTAAGCTGAATCAAATTAACCTTACGATTCAATTGAACTTGAATTATGTTAAGCCAACTTAAAACAGCTTGTGTGACTTATACAATAAAGTTGGAACATAGCTAACTTAGTTTAATAAGTTACAATGAGCTAAAACATATGCTGTCAGGACTACTTGATCACAAGTTTTTTACAGTGTAATGTAAACAATATAACTCTGGAAATCAATAATGTGTTTGTAAATGTTGAAAAATTAATTAATAAAAATTAACTCTTAATTGTCTTTAAGAGTTTAAATGTAATTGTTGCATGGATTTTAAATAACGTAACATTGATTTAAGTTTCATAACTTAAATAAATAAATTAAATGTGTAAGGTATTAAAGGTGAAAAGGGTAATTCTGTGCTTACAATGAAATAAAGTTCTCAGAGAATCATTCTTACAACTATCTTGAATGTTTGTGTATTTTTAATAGAAAATTAATATACTGTACTATATGTGTAATGCTAAAACCAAAACATAGAGTTGAAATAAGAATTATTAGTTCCCCTTGAATTAGCCCCTTTTTTCTTTTTTAAATATTTCCTAAATTATGTTTAACAGAGCAAGGAAATTTGCACAGTATTTCTGATAATATTTTTCTTCTGAAGAAAGTCTGATTTGTTATATTTTAGCTAGAATAAAAGCAGATTTTTTATATATTTTAAAAAGCATTTTAAGGTCAAGTTTATTAGCCCCTTTAAGCTATATTTTTGATAATATACAAACCATCATTAGACAATAACTTGCCTAATTACCCTAACCTGCCTAGTTAACCTAATTAACCTAGTTAAGCCTTTAAGCTGTATAGAAGTGTCTTGGAAAATATCTAGTAAAGTATTATATACTTTCATCATGGCAAAGAGAAAATAAATCAGTTATTAGAAATGAGTTATTAAAACTATTATGTTTAGAAATGTGTTGAAAAAATCTTCTCTCCGTTAAACAGAAATTGGGGGAAAAAATTAACTGGCTAATAATTCTGACTTTTAATGTTACATAAACATTTTCATGAGAAACTGCAATTTATCCAGATGTTTTTTTATTTATTTTTTTAATATAAAATATACATTTAAATACGGCGACTTGACTTTCAATGCAATATAGATGAGTGCTGCAGATAAGAGTCCCAAACAAATCTGTTCTTTACTTTCATTTTCTCCCTTCATTTCTTCCCTCTGTTGCATCTGTCCTCTTTCCTGTTGACTTTGCTCTATCATTTTTCTTTCCATCCTTGCACGCTAATTGGCCATTCCTCTCTTCAAACCAATTTGCTTTCGGCAGCTGCATTTGATAACGGTTTCCAATTGAATGCAGTTTTTTCTTTTTGTTTTCTGGTCTTCATTTTACCCGAGCTTGAACAAACTGAATCCTGGCGGCCCTAGCATGCTAAACTGCATTAGTAGCATAATTAGGTTGTTTACATGACCTCTCCCAATCGTCTGTTCTTTGCTTACAAAAACAGCCTCTGTTTTCCTTTGAAAATGATCTGTTTTACGATACGTGTAAACTGGGGTTTCTATGAAGTCACACAGATTTGTTCCTACCAGCACACAGAAAAAAGAATGTTCCATAGCGAACGACAGCTGGATTATTTCATTATTGATTATGAAATATTTCTCCCCCTAACTAGTCCCCATTCCTCCTCTCGGACACACATTCTCTTCCTTTTGGAAGGTCTGTGAGACCTCATTTCCAAAGGAAAAAAGCTGAAGGCTGGACATAGATTGTGGTTTGATATTTGAAAAATATGTAACCAGCATTCAGTGGTTGTTGCAGAAAAGTTACCAGATCCAATACAAGTTATGCTCACTTCAAAAAGTGTCATTTATTATTATTATTATTATTATTATTATTATTATTATTATTATTCATTGATTTTATTTTGTATTTTATTTATTTATTTTATTTATTTATTTTTTTTTGGAAAAATTTTGACCACAGTGAGGCTACAATGCTTGCAATGAAAGTAAAGGCCCTTTATTTTGATAATTTAAAAGCTTCATTTTATGAAATATCTTACTGTACATTAATTATTCTATTAAATGTGCACTTAATCTATTAAATAAATAAATAAATAAATAAATAAATAAATAAATAAATAAATAAATAAATAAAATCAAGATGGTAGTGTGGTGTTTACAATGGACAATTGGCAAACTAATGGAGCATCTTAAAGCAGACATGTAAAGCCTATAATTATGACATATAGGAAAGTACTTTTTGTTGTTAAAATGTGTTATTATGTAAAACTTTAAATCACTTTAAGGGCTAGTTAAGGGTTTAGTGTTAAACTGTTAATGTAGGCTTTGAGGCATGATGTCGATCATCACTCAAAATATAAAAATGACTTCATTGTTATCTTTAAAAATGGTAAATGAATACACTTTCTTGTTTTTATTTTTAGAAAAATGTGTGTTTAAAAAGGCTTACATTCTAATGGAACAAAATAAAACCTAACAATACATTAAGTTTAGTGTTTTTACATTGTCATTAACATTACAGTAATGTTTTCAAAATGATCAAATGGAATCTGTCAACTTGTATAACAAAAAAGATGATGATGATGAGAAAAGGGCAAAAATAATCTTAATCTTATTAAGTATTTATTTTAGTTAACTCTTCATATTTGAAACAATAATAATAATAATAAAGTGACACTTGTGATTAAATTGTGCCTACTTTTGAAAGATATAAAAGCAGATGTGTTGGCAGTGATCTTGTGAGTGATGTTTTCAAGCTACCCCATTCACTTGCATTGTAAGTGCCTCACTGTAGAGTACAAATGCTGTCAAATGAGCTTAACTTGTACTGGATCCACAAAATTACTTTGAATGCTTGCTAAGTATCCATGCTTTGATTGGTTATCAATACAATAAACCATCGCCGACACTAACGCCTGATAATTGTAACTGTGCCTCCATGTTGATCGCCTTTTAAACCAATTTGTCTCAAACGGTCATTCAAATTTCAATTGTCCTCCAGATATTCAATTTGAGCCTGTAAATTGAGCTGAATCACGACGCCCCCCGGTGGAGAATGGCATCCACATGGACACACAGAAATCATCAGTGCCCACTGGGAGATCATTCAGACTGGCCGATTCCCTCATGTCCATGATAATGATAAACACAATTCCTCGCACAAGCAGTTTCCATTGCTGAGCTGCTCCGTTAAAGCAAGCGTTGAGCCTTGATGCCAGTTCACGATTAAGAAAAGACACCGCAGGCAAAAGCACTGCTTTACATGCACCTATCAGTTTGATATGAACAGAACATGCAAATTTCATTCTATTACACAATTTATTCATTTGCATATGCATATTTCAATTACAATACATATTTTAACATTTGTTTTCTTTTCAACTAAGCCATAATTCTCCAACTAAGCACTATTTACATCGACGTAGACGAATTCACATTTTCATTTACATCTAGATGTAGATTCACATTTTTATTCACATCTATGTCTATATTCTGAATGTTTGTACAGAGGGTTTGCTTATACATAATTTGAATGATTATTTACAATGTTTGATTCTACAAATTATCATGAAATTGTTAAACTAGATATCCAAAAACCCCTCTTTAAAAACCTTCAGTTTAAGATGTCGGAAAACAATTTTCCCAATTTCATTTGGTTTTCACATTTTTGTGATAGAAATGTATGTAAAATAGCACATGGTTAATGAAATAATGCCTCATTAACATTAATAAACGGGGATTTTTCATATAACTTGGGAAGTACATATAAATATGATATCAACGCTGAAAGATCCGGATGATTGTTGCAGCAGTGGGATCTGTTTAAGAGAGGGTTTGGAAGCAAGTTTAGTTGTAGATGATTCTGGTGACTGTTGTTTGCTTGTGTTGCGTGCACAGAGGCAGAGGAGCTTTATCAGAAGAGAGTCCTGACAATCACCGGCATCTGTGTGGCTCTTTTGGTGGTGGGCATAGTCTGTGTGGTGGCCTACTGCAAAACCAAGTAAGTACTTTATTGAGCGCAATGGCAGATATAGTAGTTAAAGCTGTACTGTACAAATAAGAGTGATATTTAAAAGGATAGTTCAACTTTGTTCTTCAACTTTTGTAGTTCATTTCACTCTCGCTTTTAGGTCATGCAAGATGAAGGTGACTTTTTTTTCTTCAGTAGAACATTAAAGCAGCTTTTTGCTAAAACTGGTTCTTGGTGACTCATAAATTATGAGTCAATGGCTACCGGCACTTTAAGTGTAATATAAGGTATAAATTATACAGGAAAATCCAAACTAATACCTATGGATATTGGTGATACTGCATATTGAAGTTGTAAAAAGTGAAATATTTGATTTGTGTAAGAATCTGAACAATATTTACAGCATTATTAACTTTATTCCAAAGAAAATGCAAGTTAATAAACAGGAAGTACACTTATATATATAATTTTTTTTTTCTTACAGTACATTTTATAAAATAAATGATAGTTAATTTAATGTAAATCTATAATAAAATATTTTAATATATATATATATATTATAAATATATAAAACATGTAATTAAATATTAATTAAAAATTTAAATACATTTTTGTTTATTCAGAAATCTCATTTCTTTATTAGATTGATATAAAAGAAAGAGCTCTATTCAAACCAAACCGATACTTTTTGTGGCCACTATTCAGTGAATCAGTCTGTAAACATCGACAGATTTTTATTAAATCAGTTTAATAGCTAGCACTAGAAAGAGCACTAATTAGTGAGCTTTTAAATGTGATGATTGACTCTGGACCTGTGTCTGAGAGAGTGACCCTGCCTCACTGTAGCCTCCCTCCCAGGAAACAGAGGAAGAAGATGCACAATCATCTGAGGCAGAACATCTACGTGGATCATCCAAACCGCAACCTGGCCAATGGACCCAATCACCCGGGGCCTGGTCCTGAGGAGATTCCCATGGTAGATGTATGTAACTCTTATCTATCAGTGTATCTGTCTATATAACACATAGAAGACGTTAGGTACAAAACTTCTGTCCCGTTTGTTCTACTTTAATGATAAGAGAGCTTTCAATTTAATATTGTGAAATGAGCTATCGGAATTTATTTATTTTATTGTTAAATATATATGTGAAAAGAGTTATCTTATGAATTGAGTAATGTACACTGTGTTCTAATACTGTGTTTATGCTATTTTAACATTTGCATATATGCTGTCTACATTTAACAACACAGACTCATTGGGAATATGTGCCCAGGGCTACATTTTTGGTTAACCACAAATACATGACTGAATTTCTGAGTAAAATGAGCGTTACTGTGTTGCATGACGCTGATCATTTTTGTTCATTTTCACACTACAGTGTGAAACATTTACAGGGACACATTATTGATGGATAAGGAATTGTTTTCATATGGTTGTTTGTGCAGCACCTAATAAATAGCACAAAAACAACTTAAATGCATGGACCAGGTTTGAGTCTGGCAAAGGACGGTTCCAGAAACCAGGTCGATGTAAAAGCAATGTGAAATTGTGGTAAAAGTATGCAGCCACTATACTCTTTTATCTTCTTGTTTGCTTTTGTAAACACTATCAGTCGGGTTTAGGTAAGGGTGCAGGTCAGTTGATTATGCACGACAAGCTGTCCGGCTTCACACAGATGCGCACAGCAAGGATATCTAATGCTGCATTTACATTGCAGATCTTGATGGTCAATTTCGATTTTGTGACTGTATCCGATTTATTTGATGACCTGCTTACTTAATCTTTTAAAAGTGACTCATATCCGATTGTCTGCATTTACACAGCACATGGCAAATGTGCAATGACCAGGAAAAAAAAGAGCAGGTGCTGACAGACCGCTATTAATTAGAAAAAATAGTGCCCTTTACTTCGTTCCTGTTTACAGGGTTTAATTTTTTTTTACATATTCTTTACGACAAGCTCTTCCACTATAGTTTATCAAAGAAAAGTTCTTATTTGGCCATCTTCTTTTAATCTAGGTCTTTTTAAACTAGTAGGCATCTCAATGTCATGTCTACGTCCTGATTTATGCACATTATGTATGCAATAGTTTTATATTATATTGGTTAGGTGGCAAATATTACTCTCTCTCTCTCTCTCTCTTTCGCCCACGCTCTCTCTCTCTCTCTCGTTAACATGTTTAAATAATTGCTCTACATAACAATATACAAGCTTTTTTAGTCCTTGTGTATGAGATTTAAGGTTTGAGACTTTGCTGAAGTCTGTTTTGAAATTATAGCAACAGACTTGACGACATTCCCTATGGTTTTCAATGATGCACGACTCGCATTGACAGGTGAAATCCGATCTACCAGCTTACACTGCAGACACGAGGGCACAGATCCGATTCATATCAAATAAATTTCCACATACGAACAAGGCCTGAATCTGATTTCAATAAATCGGAATCATTGTGATTCGTTCCAGCTTACACGTACATACGCCATATCCGATCTGTGCCACATGAGAAAAAAAAATTAGAATTGAGTCACTTGAACCATGAAGTGTAAATGCAGCCAAAATGGTACATCTGAGAAAATGCAACCCAGTAACATATTTGAGATTCTCAAAAATGTTCACAGCAGCCTCTAGTGAATTTGTCAAAAAAAAAAAAAAAAAAGCTGCAAGAAACGTCGCCAGAGCAACATATTTCACGGCATGCATTTCCAATGAGTCTGGGTTGATGTTTAAGCTCATTCAACATTACTGTTTTAAACCACACCTAAATGAATTAAATTCAGCTTATTGATATGAATAGAGCCATAAGCTTTATGCAATAATCAAGGATTGTCATCATGTTGAAAGAAAGATAATGAGCTGTTTGTTTTAGTGGTAAAAATCACTTCCTTCTGTGTTGCTTTGGATGAAATGAGTTGACTTACAGAACATTAATGATTTTACACTTGTAGTTTTACAGTGAATTTGAGGTCAATACAAATATAAATGACACTTATAAAATTTCATGACACAATTACATTGGCCTCATGACAATCATGTTTATGCCAGATTTATGACAAGGTTTGATGTCTTGTTAATGTCATGGCAAGTGTATTTATGTTAACTTATCATGACAGAAACATCTCAAATGATGTCATCTTTGTATTTAAATTGGCATATTGGCACCCAATGTCATAAGCATGCATAAAATCTCCTTCTTATTAATGACATCTCGTCACAATTATACAGGTTTTTATGACAGTCTTATGTATAGCCCATTCAAGTAAAGCATGACCTATTTTTATACCTGATTGCAGTATATCTCCAAAAATGTGCCAGCAACCGAGAGAGTAATTCGGCACGGAGCAGAGGCACCTTTTCCTGGCAGCCGTCAGTCTTCCAGATCCCACAACTCCTCCACCCGGGCTCATTCCTCCACCCACAGGTACACACCTGAAAGAGTGTCTTTCCTGACCACAAATGTGTGCGCGGACTCATGACGGGGTCACGCTCTGGCTGACCCATGCTCGAGTCAGACGTCTGTTTTCATCTCATTCAGCATTCTTTGCCTTCCCGTCACCCGCTGGATGTGGAATCTGAGTTAGACGGCCATTATTCACCCGTTTTAGAGCGGAGACACAGATGTGAGCGAGTGCAGAGATATTTAGAGGTTATACGGTACCATCATCTTGCAGGGCTCCCACTTCACGCTTTTCACTCACATTCATTCTCTAACACATGTGGGTTAAACTGGTGGTGCTCTTCTTGTTCTGTCTTGAATGCTTTGAAACTCTAAAAATATCTGGCGCCCGCAACACTTGAGTCGTAATTTTAGGAGCTGGGTTATTTGACAAATAGTAGTGCCAGATCTGTAGGTTTTGAAGAATGAGGAATGAGGAATTTGAAGCAAATTATCTGTAATATTAGCAATAAAAATAAAAAAAATTTTGTTAATTATTGTTAATTATTTTGAAAAATCCAAATGTTAATACTTGAAGGTGCTGTATGTAAGTTTTTGACTCTTCTGAAGCATAAAAATAGTATAATATGTTTGCAGGTATATAAGAAACATGCCAAGTGAACATTCTTGTTTATCTTAATAACAATGCTACGATATTCTGTTTTGAAAATGTGCATTACGTGCTGGAACGTCTGTCTTTGTTTCAGTTCTTTTAACTTGCCCGATGCCAGTTTAGCCAATTATATTTTAGCACTCTTGGTTGCTTTGTTGAAAAACCACATATTTGATTCATTCAGTCATAAAGGCTCTTAAAGCATGCGTCAGTGACCAAAATGCGATTTGCGGTGAACAGTAGCAGACTCTAAAATGAGACGTAGATTCAAACAGGTTATTAATTAGCAAATAGCATAAACATTACAATTGTAAACATTAGGTGATCAGGTTACATTATAACCCTGTGTCCTAACAACATGCTTTATGATGAGATTTGCAGAGGTTTCTACCAGAAAAACACGACAGAAATTTAAATACAGCCATTCAGAAGCACAGAATAGTGCACTTATTGCACTCCAATGAAATGGTAAGGTTTATAATCTAATTAGTACATATTAAACCTCTTTAACATAATTAAATATACATGCTGAATCACTGATATGTGAATAGAATGAGTCACAGTTCTAAAGATTAATTTCGAAGGATTAATTTAATTTTTAAGAGGGGAACTATCTCCTGCTGACTTTAGTATATGGCAATAAATGTCATGTAAAATGGCATTCAAACTCACATTGTTAGCATTTAAAGCTGAATAAAGCACATGAGGTATACCTGAGATGATCATTGTCAATTTTCTGTTATTCAGCTGCAAGAAATAGAAGCTGTTTCTAAAATCTAAATTCCAGGTGTTGGTTAGAACATAAACTTCATTTAATATTGAAAATATTCCATTGCGTGCCGTTGCTTTTATGTAGAACACAATTGAAATCAGCCTTTGTTGTTATCATCAATCTGGCAACCTGCTCTTGTGTGTGTTTTGAACCAGGGGTGCAATACCTAGTTTAACCACTGAGTGTCAAACTTACTTACCTCACCTTTAAATTAAGAGTTATTAACTGAACAGTTCAGGCAGAAGTTTCAAACTTCAGTTTGTTTATATGCAGTTTTGTTTCGACTGAATTAAAAGTATTAATACTATTTTATTTGTTCATCCAGAAATCAAACTTTTTATCTGTAATTTATTCACCCCAAGCAGTGTTCTTATTATTTTAAGTAAAGATATTTAAAAATGTAAATGTTCAAATAAACTGAAATATAACTGACATATTTTACACTACCTGACAAAAGTCTTGTTGTTAAACCCAGTTGTATGAGCAACAAATGAAAACTTGACTTCTGGCTGATCATTTGGAAAAGTGGCAGAAGGTAGAATTTTCAGATAAATCATCTGTTGAACTGCATCCCAATCATCACAAATCCTGCAGAAGACCTATTGGAACACACATGAACCCAAGATTCTCTCAGATATTCGTCAAGTTTGGTGAAGGAAAAAACATGGTCTGGGGTTACATTTAGTATGGGGTCAAGCAAGAGATCTGCAGAATGGATAGACTGTTGATGTTGCCAACAGCCTGAGGTATTAAGACATTTGTGCTGCCCATTACATTACAAACCACAGGAGAGGGCAAATACTTCATTAGGAAAAAATCTCTTACTTCAGTCTCTACATCAAAGTTTCTGCAAAGAAGGTCAAAGTGCTCCAATTTGGCCAGCCCAGTCACCAGAGATTAGCATTATTGAGCATGTCTGGGGTAAGATGGAGGAGGTATTGAAGATGAATCCAAAGAATCTCTGAGAGTCTTGCAAGATTGCTTATTTGCCATCCTAAATGACTTTTATTGGTAAGTTATGCGAGTCATTGCAGAAATGTATGGATGCAATCCTCCAAGCTCATGAGAGTCACATTAATTCTTTTTCTATTGCACAATGACTTTATATTCTATTCTGTACATTATTTCTATAAAGTGACAAGACTTTTGTCTAAGCAAAGTCTGACCTTACTGTATTAATTAAATTGGATAGGTGACAAGACTTTTGTCAAGTAGTGTATATACACAAATGAAAGGATAAGTATTAAATAAAAATATAATTTATGCAGTGCGTTCAGGTTAAAAAACACTAAATTGCTAATTAACTAATTGCTAATTAATTACAGTAATTAATGCCAAAGCAATTTGCTTCAACTCTTTTTATTTTATCAGTGGAATGCAAATAGAAAAAGATGAAACATGATAGTATTTCACAACCATCAATCCATCTCCAAAAACTCCATAAAGCCCCATAAAACATATTCATACAATACATCTTACACAACAGGCTAACTCTCAAAGCCCAAGGAAAAGGAAACAAACAGGTCAAGAAGCACTGGTTTAATCATTATGCGCTTACTTCTATCCTGCTTTCCTTCCTTTCTTCCTTCCCTTTTCCTCTACCTTTTTCTCTCTGTCTCTCCACCTTTTCTCAGACATGAAGGGAGAACGTGGAGTCTGGAGCGCACAGACAGCGTCCTCTCCGACTGTCCTTCCGGCCTGATGTCGTCCTCAGTGGGGACCAGTAAATGCAACAGTCCTGCGTGCATGGAGGCTCGGGCCAGGCGTGCCGCACACTGTGGCTTTACTGAGCCCCACCGGCCGGCCCTGCAGTACGGCGACTCTTTCGACTCGCTCGGGGACTCTCCGCACAGCGACAGGTGCGCCTCTTTCTGCAGCTGTGGGACTGACGAGAGGTGTAGTGTGCACAGTAAGACCATGTGTTCAGTGCGCAGCCGCCTTTATACCTGGAGACTGCCATGGGTGGAGGGAAAGAGTCAATAGCAAATGGTTGTTGCGTGAGGTGTTAGTCTGTGAATTTTGGACCTGGGTTAGGGGTTGTTGTGTTGAAAAAAGAGAGTTAGCAATTTTTGTAATAGTGTTGGCAAATAGTGATAAATTAATAATAATATTTAGCCTCATCCATCGTTTCTGACTGAGTGACCAGAGTATCCCAGCTTTGTCAAATGTTTACATTATATTTTTTAATTTTCATATATTTTTTCCTATTATTTTATGTTGTTAATTTTTTTATATTATTTTTTAATGTTTTTGTTTATTTCAATTACTCTATTTCATCAATGCATGTTATATGATTGATCGCGGCTGGTCTCTCATCAATAATCAGCAATAATCCAATCAGATCAATCCAAGCTTACAATAAATAGACCGATTTCACCCCACTGCCTTATCTTTATTTTGGAAGAAACACCTCTTTCTGAGGGGAGCTCTCGAGACCTACCTGATATGACCCTGTTATATGCTTATTGACCAGACGGGAACCCTGGACTCAGTTATCCCCGAGCTCAGGATTCTCTCCTGGGACAGCATGACAAACCTGCTAATAACGTCAAGCAATATCGAAGAATGAACTCTCATAATTTAATTTATTACATACTGTATTTCTACACATTCCTTCAATTAAATTTAAATCAACTTGCTATTTCATGAGTTATCATAATAATGTAACTCAAGATATCTCTCATTAAATTTCTTTGCTGGACTTTTATGGAAAAATAAAATATCATGATAATTCTAAGGCTGGTCTTTAAATGGCCACATCGCTCTATTTGAAGCAAATGAACTAGCTAATTTTGACTTGTGTAGTTTTAAAACTCTCATAACTAAATGCTTCTAGCTAGAATGGTAAAAATGTCTAATTTCACAAAAAAAAAAAAAAAAAAAACATTCTACATGTGTCAACTGAGGGTAATAAATAATAATTTGTATAGTAATTTTTGGATAGTTTTTGGATAAATTTATGCTGGTCAAATTGACCCACAAGCAATATCTTGATAACTTTTTTGCACCCATATACTCATTGGAATCTACTCAATTTATTTATTTATTTATTTGTATCTCCAGTGCTAATGCGAAAGGTAAAATCTTTCTTTTACCACTTTGAAAACCTAACTTTTTAACTGTTTTTTAAAGGTTCGGATCAAAATGACATTTGAATCGTCCAAGGGATAGATTAGGGTTAAATGTATTTTAATTACACTACCTGTCAAAAGTTCGGATTCAGTTTTATTTTATAATTATAAATTTTATTTAATAATTTAAATAACATGTTTCTGTTCATCAAGGCAGCATTTATTAAATGTAAAAAATGTTAAACTGTTAAATACCTATTTATTAAATATTTATTTATTACTTATTGTATGTAGTTTCAAATGAAATTATTACTTCAGTCAATTATGCTATTATTACTATTACTATTAATAATAATAATATTAATACTACTAAGAATAATATTATTAGAGTGATTTCTGAATGATCATGTTACTGAAAACTAGAGTTATGAAGCAGAAAATTCATATTCAAAATCAATGGAATAAATGATTAAATTAAATGATAAACTAATTTTGAAAAGTTATAGTGCAATAGTTTTTTTTTTTTTTTTTTGGATTAAATAAATGCAGCCTTGGTGAGCTGGATAAGCTTATTTTAAAACCTTTTAAAACCTCCTACAGACCCCAAATTTTTGCCCAGTATATAAATATATGTATATGTTTATGTATGTATGTATGTATGTATGTATGTATGTATGTGTATATATATATGTATGTATATATGTATGTGTGTGTGTGTATATATATATATATATATATATATATATATATATATATATATATATACACACAAAAATATACATTTTTTGATAAATATCAGAGTATTATGAATTGTATATTAAAAATTATTGCTTAAGTACTATAAATATACTATATAAATACATTCATAAAGTAGAACTCAAAAAGAAAATCTTTATATTACTTTTTTATGGTACATTATTTAACCATTATTTAACTGTGCATCTATCCAAAACTCCCCTAATAAAAAAGCTGACCCCTCAAAAATCTTTGTATAGGTCGCACACAGCGTACCGTGACGAATAGAACAGTAAAACTCATTGCGCAAATGTTGCAGATGCTCTGGCCCTGCTGAGAGAGTCAGAGAGTTGGGGTCAAGCACAGCCTCACTGCTCCAGATACACAGAGAGAAATCTAGCCCACGGCCAGCTGTATTTACAGTTATCTCTCGCCTGCAAAACGCCCACACCGCCATCCCAGGGCCAAAACAGGAGAATTTATACCGTGAGGGGTTCATTAAGTCAACAAGAGCCGAACAACACATTATCTCTGGGGTGAAGCAGGTCTCTGGTGTTTCCTTCTCTACCTTCTCTCCTCCTCTGCAGCTGAAGGCTAATCTGAATGAGCAGCCAGTGTTAATTCTTCTGCTCCGGTTTGACTGTGGACACTTTAACTCGCACCGCAAAGGCCAGAGGAACAGGCCTAGATGCTAGTGTTGTCACAATACTGAAATTTATAACTTAATACAATACCCTCAAAAATACTGATACAATTTCTTCATTTGTCAGTGTTAAAACCTTCAAGTGTGGCTCAGCATTAAATATTTTTTACCATTGGACAAGTCAGGCCAGTTGTTTCAATTTTCTGTTTCACTAAAATAAGAAAGAAGTTTCAAATATTTGTTTTCATGTTTCGATTAATGTAGCATTCTAACACTATTCATAATGATTAATTGTATTCATCTTTATATATATATATATAAAGTCATTATTAGAAGTATTTATTAGAAGCAACTACTGGCCATGCTTAAAGAAAGTTGCATTATTAAATACAAATGAAATTAGTAGTAAACAAATATGTTAATTACAACTAATAACCAGGGCCAGAGAGTATATGCAGACCTTTTAAATTTGCAGATTTCTACTGAATGTTTTTGAGAGTATGAGCTAAAAGCTTACATAAATAAATATTTTTATATTTTTTGGAGAATAAAAATGTAAATAAATCATTTTAAAATAGACTATTAGAGATTTATTTAAGGTTTAAAATGCAAATTCAATCAAAAGAACCACTTATTTGGTAAGCAAAGCTACAGCAGTTCTCTCATATAATGCATGAAAAACTATTAGTATTGGGATATTACTTTACAAATTGTATTGTACACAAATTATCTAAACATTTTAGTATTATGCAATAATTATAATGCAATTAAAATATAACTGAAATAAATATTTAAAGAAGCGTATATACATATATTAATAAAATACTAATAACATAAATATGAAAATGAAAACAGTGCTTGATATTTGTGACTTTGTCTTTTGTTGTTGATTAATGAATATTAACATTCGTATTAATAAGATTTAACTTGATTTGAACAAGTTTAAGCTGCTACCACTTTCTCCTCAATTCCTCAAACAATCCCTCAAATCTGTTTTATTTTCACTTTAGAATAAGTGACTGTGTTTTAAAGATTGAAGGATATTTTTACATATTAGCCTTGTGAATTCTCTTTTGGAGTTCACTATATGAAAAAGCGGCAGTTCATTCTGCAGTGGGGACCCTTGATGAATAAAGGGACTAAACCGAAGGGAAATGAATGAATGAATGAATGAATGAATGAATGAATGAATGAATGAATGAATGAATGAATGAATATGGAAAAGCAATATTGTGTTATTTCAGATATTTCAGTATCGCTATGTATCAAAATTGCCAATACTTTGTAAAACGAAATTACCAAGGAAATTACCCACCTACATGATTAAGTTTAGCATTATTTACGTTACAAGGAAACTCTTAAGGCTAGACTTGTAATCCATCTGGTGGTTTATAAACCTAGACTGGGAGGTTTGACTTGGCCTCATTTGTAACTTTTGCTTATCTGCTGCCATTTGCTATTGAGCTTTCAGCCGCCATGTCTTAGTGTGCACACTAACATTTTTCTAGTGCCATAGCAAGGTGGGCGTCAATTGATATAATACTGCATGACAACAACACTGGAAAATGAGCTGCTGACACATCGCTAGGCCATTGAATTTCTGATGTTCATAACGGAGAAGGGATTTTTAACGTTACACTTTGTTGGCCTTAGAGAGCAGGCTTTTAAGTTTGAATTAATTTCATGACTTTTTCAACAGTTATTAAAATCCAGGTTTTCAATAAACATGGGAATTTATGAAGCAGGTTCTCAACCTCGAGGTCTCCCACATACGCCAAAAATGTTTGCATACATTTAAAGATATACCTAGCAGTGATGTACTGTTAATGAAAAAGGAGGCATGGAGCTGTGGTGATAGATCAATTCGAGAAATGATTTGGCATCGATTCAAGGATTTTCAGAATGCAGTTTGATTTTCTTTGAAACTTATTCTAATCTTAGTTTTTAACAAAAGATAGCACTGAAGGCATTACAAACAGCAGTACTCTGCTTGCGTCCAGTTCCTTACACATACCACTCAAAACTAAAATAATCATTAATAAAGGTAGGAATGTGCGGCGCGGTGGCGCAGTAGGTAGTGCTGTCACCCTACAGGAAGAAGGTTGCTGGTTAGAGCCTCGGCTAGGTCAGTTGGTATTTTTGTGTCGAGTTTGCATGTTCTCCCCGCATTCATGTGGGTTTCCTCCTGGTGCTCCGGTTTTCCCCACAAGTCCAAAGACATGTACAGGTGAATTGTTTGAGCTAAAATTATCTGTGAGTATTCCCCAGTGATGGGTTGCAGCTGGAAGGGTATCTGCTGCGTAAAACATATGCTGTATAAGTTGGCGGTTCATTCTGCTGTGGCGACCCCAGGCAAATAAAGGGACTAAGCTGAAAATAAAATAAATGAAAGTTAGGAATGGTTTAAGCTTGTTACAGGAGTGTTCTTAGTGAGCATTATCTGCATGAATCTTGTGGCTTAAAAGCTGACATCCAAGTACATCTGACCACTTGCATGACTCAGCCGAACACACAAGCACTCTTCTTCATTAGCATTTTAAAAAATCAAGCCTAGAGCACCTTGAAAACTAAGCTAAGAATTGATAAAATTGAGAATTTTAATACATTCTGAAAAAATACGTTCATCTTTAGAATTCAAATTAAGATATGTTGGGTGGAATCTAACAGCTCCATAGACAAAAGCCAAAGACCAGAAAGGTACCAAAAACATTATCAAAACAGTCCATGTGTCTTCAGTAGTTTAATCAGAATAGCATTAAACTACAAGGGGATTTAAAAGGATTTATTTATTATTTATTAATTTAATTAATTACTTGAATCTTGGATGGACTGTAGGAACAAAAAGGACACTGGATAAATAATAATAATAGACTAATGTCACTTTTGTAAGATCCAATAGTAAATAGTTTTATTCTGACAAATTGGTGGGAGTGTGACAATGTCAAAACATGACCAAAAAGGTTGAGAACTCCCTTATTTGACTTCATTTTGGTGGTGGGCCCCTTTTGCAGTATGTGTTCTTGAAAAGTTTGACTGATGTGCATATCTGTTCCACACAACCTTCTCCTTCCTTGTTCTGGCTTGCTCTCTCTCTTTCTGTCTATCTGTCTGTCTCTCTCCCTGTCCTTTTCTTACCACAGGTATGTGTCAGCGCTGACCACGCCGGCTCGCCTGTCTCCCGTGGACTTCCATTACTCACTGCCCCCGCAGGTGCCTACCTTCCAGATCACGTCTCCCAATGCCAGCCACGCCATGTCTCTGCCTCCTGCCGCCCACGCTCCCTACCCACCAGAGGAGGACCAGCCCCTGCTGCGGCGGTACCAGGTGCCCCTGCATGAGGCACGTGGCCACGAACCCTACCGGCAGCAGCAGCGCGGCAGCTACCTACGAGACAGCACGGGCAGCCTTCCCTCCAGCCCATACCGGCTGGCTCAGGAGGATGAGTATGAAAGCACCCAGGAGTACCTCTCCTCGATGGAGCAACCAAAGAGAAGCAGTAGGCGCTGGCGCAGGTCCAGGCTCAATGGCCACGTGGCGCCGCGCGGCTATCAGCCGTCCAGGGACTTGGGTTCACGCAGCTGCTTGTCTGACAGTGACTCGGAAGAAGAGGAAGGTGAGAGCACGCCCTTCCTCAGTATGCAGAACATGAATGCCGCCGAGCCCTCTGCCCTCTACAGGCCTGTGCCTGACACGCGGACTTCTCACGCCCAGAGCGGGCGGCATGGGTCTCGCGCCAACACACAGACCAGACTGACGCACTCGCGATCCAAACCGGACAATGCACCCCACTAGAGAGACCGCCAAACTATCCACAAAAAAAAAGATCTACTATAGACATGCACCTATAAGAAATATTTTTATTTTATATAACTGACAGATATTATAAACAAATGAAATATTTATTTTCATTTTAGCAAACGTTGTCTACTAGTTAACAGCAAAGACTTTTTTATAGGGAAAACTCTATTTATATGTACATTTTGATTTACAGCATAAAAAATATGTGCCAACTTTTTCACAACTTAAAAAAAAAATAGAGTAATATTGTGGTGCCTTTTGCTGTATGCTGATGCCAGAGGGACAGTGGAGTTTTTGTAGCCTTTCTTATACGGACGCCTCATTTTTTATACTCGTTTACTCTTTTGTTGTCTCTTTTTGGCCTTTTTTTTCCTTATTTCCTTTCCAGGTTGTGTTCTTTTTGGGAGCTGACCCCCATTTGAACTGTGACATACCCCCTCCCCCCACCATCATGCAATATAAACCACTCTAACATAAGGTGTATGTTTACATGAATTTGAGATGTTTTATGATCATGTTGCTTTGCCAACAGGAAATCGATGACAAATGCAATTGGGGTTTTGGAAAATAAGTCTGTATGGGTGTGTGTGTGTACGTGGGTGTGTGTGTGTGCCCGCGTGTATGTGTGTGTGTGTGTAAACGACCAAATGAGAGGCCTCGGAATGACTGTGGCTCTGAGAAATATGCTGCTGTTGTTTAGAGTTACGCATGTGGGCACCTGATGTCGTCTTACAGATGTACCGCCTTGACTTGCTTTGCATCCCTACAGGGTAAGGTTTGTCACATGGGAGCCTTTTCTTTCCAAAGGGGGTTAAATGTGAGGGGGCCGTACTGGCCTGTCAGAGTTAATAGCTTTTGACAGATAACAAAGAAATAAAGAACATATAGTCTCTCCCACTCTCAACCCACTTTCCCTTCACTCAGTCGAGTCACCCTCATTATCAGCACATCCATCCGGTTAGAGTGGCCAGCAGACAGATAGACAGGAGGAGTGGAAGGCCTCACAGCGTCTCAGGACCTCACTCCACCGCACATCTTCCTCTAACACAGAACTGAAGACAGACTGACACCAGGCTAAAAGAGGCATCCACTCTACCGTTTGATCCTGGTACTCCTGGATAGGATAAGGGTGTTCACATGGGATGCATTATTACTAGATTTATATGAATATATATATATATATATATATATATACATATATATACACATATATATATATATAATTATTATTATTATTATTTTTTTTTTTTTTTTTTTTTTTTTTTAACTAGGATATTTGCAATCATACAAGCCTAACCCTTGGAATATGATGTGTATTATGTATAAAGAAACAAATTTTAAATGTTATTTGACAATATATTATTTATTTAGTTATTTATATTTCGCTTTACGAAAGCCACATTTTCAGACACCTTGTCAAATTGAACTCTGACATGCAGATTGGACCAATCAGGTGAATCTAGGGGTGGGATACGCTTATTCATATTTACACTTTGGGGCTTTTTTTCAGTTCTGTCGGATAAATGTGTCCTGTGTGAACAACTTTGAAAGGCTTCTCTGCAGAACACACTCATCACATACACACAGTATCAAATGACTAGACAAATAGCTGTGAAAATTATTAGGGGTCATTAAAATGCCAATATATGCAAGCTTTATATTTAACTTGTGTTCCAGTGCATTTCATTTTTATGTGTAATGTGAAGACTGTTTGTTCCCTTTCAGTCGGTCACCATGAGTTATGTTTAGGGCATTATTTTGGGAGTCCTCATAGGAGACCAGAGGTGTCCACACTTGGTCCTGGAGAGGTTAGCTCCAACCCTAATCAAACACACCTGAACCAACTAATCAAGCTCTTACTAGATATAATAGAAACTTCCTGGCAGGTGTGTTGAAGCAAGTTGTAGCTAAACTCAGCAGGACACCAGTTTGGACACCCCTGTAGGATACCAATCAGTTTTTAATAGTTTAAAAATGGGCCATTACAATTTGGCGCGTTAAATCAACAAGCAAGGTCACTTCTGTATACCTACCGGTATACTTGTCGCCAATGTACAGCTACTCTTTCAGATTTTCACTTCAGAACCCAATAGTATCTGGATGCAGACTTGGAACTGCAAGCTGAGACTGCATATCCAAGAGATGCATTGTCAGACTCAATGGAGCTAGTGACATCACTGTGATGAGTAAGGTTAGGGGTGGTGTTAGGTGTGGGCAATTAAAGCATTGCATGCAGCTCAGCTTGCAACTGCACCATTCAGAACCAGTCAGTTTCTGTATATGACTGTTGTCTTAGTGCTTCTGTGGTGGTTTGCTAGGCCATACTAAGCCCTATCTGGCACTTCAAGCTGTTCAAAATGGCAGTATTTCCAAAGAAAAGCAACATGTCTATTTGAAATGTTGTTCATTCTGTGTGATTCTGTATGTGGTGGTTTACTGTGCTATGAAGACAGTCATGGCCAGCATATCTTTTGGGACTCCTGAGAATCAAATGTCCATTGCAGCATTGGTGGGCAGGCTTTTGTCTTCCAGCTCAACTAAACATTACAGCCCCTTCTTAGCTGATTCCCCTAAAGAAAGACCTTCTTTCTCAAGAGCAGTGCAGCACTTGGCACTCATGTCCAGATCTATGGAAACTCAATGTTGGGCTCCTAGATCGGACATGGAAGGCTTAATTGGCCTGCCACCAGCAGTGGAAGACACCGTCTGTCAGAGCTTCCTCTAGAGCAGAGGTCTCAAACTCAATTCTTGGAGAGCCACAGCTGTGCATAGTTTTGCTCCAACCTTAATCAAACACAGCTGATCTAGTAGTGTCTATTAGACTTAGATCAGCTGTGTTTGATTGGGGTTGGAGCAAAACTGTGTAGAGCTGCGGCCCTCCAGGAATTGAGGTTGAGACCTATACTCAAGAGTTAAGCCTACACCCAAAAGAGTAATCTGTTCATTGAGTGATGATTTTCTTGTTGAGAAGACTTGATGATGCCTGATCAGTGTTGTGCACTCCTTTCTTAAAGAGAACTTAGAATGGAGGCTGTCATCCTCCACTCTGAAAGTCTATGTTGCTGCCATCACTGTTTACTGTGACAGTTAATGGCAGGTCACTCCGGAACCACAAATGATCATGAGGCTTCTGAAAGTGCCAGGAAGTTGAACCCTTTTAGGTTGCTTCTCGTACCCTTGGATTCTCCCTGTAGTTTCCTTGCAAGATTGCATAGAAATGACTTTGAGCCATTTAAGGGAGTCAAGCAATATCCTGTCCCTGAAGACAGCACTCCTGACCGTGCTCACTTCCATCAAGAGGGTAGTGATCTTGCTGGTATTTCCAGTTATCAAAAAGTTCATTAAATTTGGGCCAACTGACTGTTGAATCATCTTCAGGCTATGACCAGCTAATGTACCCAAGGTTCCCAACACTCCCTTCTGTAATCAGGGGGTGAGCCTGGAAGAGTGGCCTCTGCAGAAAGGAGACCCAGCCTTGACATTGCTGTCCTGTTTGTACATTGCAGTTGTAAGTGGACCACACCCAGAGCTTTAGGAAATCTTTCTCTTCTTCAGAGGTCAGCAGAGGGGAAATGTTGAGGGGAAACACATTTGTAAGATTTTACCTGCCAGTCTCCTCCTGTGTATAATACCATTTATACTTATATTCATCAAGGTAAAAAGAAAGCACCCATCCTTCTCAAAACTGATGTGGCAGACAGGAGTTAGCACTCGCCCTGACCCACTTATCAGTCACATTTGCTGCTCCATTCTCCCTAACCTGAAGGTATGTGCTCAATTTTTGCTCTTTTACTAAGTTTATTCCCTTGATAATAATTGACTATCAGGTCTTGGGGCGTGGGATAGTGAAGTGTTGTATTATTTATATGCATGCGACTACAGTTGTTGTACCCAAAACTTGTAACCCATTTCAGTGGTTGTGAAGCTTTCCATCGGGACCCTTAATGCCTTACAACACACAGTGACCTACTGAAAGAGAATGTCTCAGTTACATATGTAACCCAAATTCCCTGGAGGAAGAAACCGAGGCATCTTGATGACCTGAACCACCAGTTGAATGCTAAGTGCTGTCTCGGGTCTTCAGCGCTAACCTGAATAAGTGCCTGCATGCTGGCGGCTTATATACCTGTATGTATGCAAGTGTGGCCTTACATGTTAATTCCACTTAAAAATACCTTTGGCCCATCATACTATTCAGATGTGATTGTACAAAGCGGAATCCCCTAATGTTGTCGCAGCACAGCGTCTCCATATCCTCCTTCAGGGAATGAAGGTTACACACGTAACCAAGATGTTTCCAGTTACTTTATTTGTTGTGTCCACGTATTTTATAATTATTTAAAATATATCACAGTTAAACACACCAAATAGTGCAGTTCATTGTTATTATTAATTTATAATGAATGCTATGTCATCGGTTTATCATTATTTGTCATATGTTACTACATGTTTATATTAAAGTACTCGTTGGGCCCAAACGAAACCAGACACAGCTGTGCTGCCTGACTCTGTTCGGATGGATGCACTCGCACATTAAAAACCAGTTAGTGTGGATAAGCGTTAAATAAAGTGAGCTAAAATCACCTGTTTCTAACTTTTCACTTTCTACAAAGAGCGTCCAGAGTCAGCATCAGCTTGCCTCATTGTTGAGAAGTTCATAGAAAGTTGAGAGAGGTGAAGTCCACTGGGTTACTGAAATCAACACCAAATAAAAGAGGAAGATTAAAACTAGACACGCTTAATGTTTCATGGACTTCTTACATAAAAGAAGAGATGAGTTGTGACTATTTTGGTAAAAAAAAAAAATTTAAATAAAACAAAAATACAAATGATAAATGGAGTTGCTGTATTATGACAGCAAAATGAACTATAATTTTTTTTATACATATGAAATGAAGACATGTTTTGTTTGAAGTTTGGGTGGAAATTGGTTACCCTACCTTTTTTCCTTTACATTTTGGGTCTTATTTGTACGTTTGAGAAATGCCAAAATGCTCTAGTTAGTTTAATGTGATATCGCTATTCAACCTCTTGATGGTTATGTCCTGCCAGTTTATTTATACTTTTTGTTTCCTCGCTTGAAACGTCTGAACACCTCACTTCTGCATGTCCTTGTGGTCAAGGTTAGATGGGTGCATGGTACAAGCAGCAGATGATTTTTTTCCCCTCGAGTCAGTGGATGTGTATTATTATTATTTTATTTCTTTTTTTTACATTCAGCAATAAAAAAGAAATCTTCCCCACCATGTCCATTCTTGGAAAATGCTAGAGGATATTGAAAAGTGAGACAAACACACTTGACTGTCATAGATTGTAAAAATAAAATGAAAACATCTGTTCATATGAGAAAATAAATCTTTCATGGTATCATTTTGACACATGCCCATATCTGACCTGTTGTCTGTTTCTTCTCTGCAGAATTATTTTGGTGAACTGACCCTTAATACCTGATCTGAGCAGTGTTATTGGTATGATGCACTCATTTAATTTTTAGACAACTCAACTATGTATTTCTGGCTCATTATTTATTTTCTTTTGCATATTTCCTTTACGAATATTAATATTACATTTCTTGTAGTGTAGCCTTTATGCTACGGGAGTTTTACTACAAATACCAACTTAACTGTTTAGTGTAAAACCTTGTTTTAATGGTTTCTAACCTAACTATAAATTAAACAAAAACATTGACAGACTTTATGAAATTCACACAACAAATGCAATTAAGTACAAGCTGCTTAGAACTTATGTTTATACATAAGCGCTACCTGTAGTTTGAAGGGTCACGAAACACCAAAACACATTTTTTGAGCTGTTGACATGTGTTTATGTCTTCCACACTGCTAAAAACACTATTAGGACACATATATTTCACTAATAAGTGAAAATGGGCTGTTTATGCATT